CAGGAAGAAAAGGTCTAAAAGAGCAGGAGAATTGGGAGGGGTAGGGGAAGGGAAAAAAGGGAAAGGAAAAAATATGAGAAGAGGAAAAAAATGGAAACAAGTTCTTTGGAAATAGGGAAGGATGGGCAAGGAAAGGGGAAAAAAATAAGAACCAAGATACTCATGTAATGGTACAAGATCCCAATGATGACTGTAACTGTATTGTATACCTAAAATGTACCAATAAAGTTAATGGGGAAAAAAAAGAAGAAAAAAATAATAATATACACATTTTTCTCTGCAAAGGTATACTTGTTCATGATAGAAAATGCAAATAGAGACAAAAAATCATCTATGATCCTATGGACAATACTCAATATGAGCACTTTCTTTCCTTTTTGCAGATATCCATATGATATGTTTAACAAACACCATACACATAGTATCTGTAACTTGTTTTCTCAATTAGCAATATTTTTCCCATGGCTCAAAGAGTCTTCTGAAACATCCTCTTTAATAGCTGTATGGCCTCACATTATGTTGAAGCATAATTTCTTTAATTAGTCTCTTACCAATGGATATTTATGTCATTCCTATTTGTCATTACTGTGAACAATGCTGCACTAAGCCACCCAATAATAACAATAGCTAATGTTTATTCAGAGTTCATACAAGGCATGCATTGTGTTAAGCAATTTACCATCATAGTTCTATGAAATAGTTATGATTTTTAAAATCCTGCTTTTAGAAACAGAGAAAACCTGGAAAAAAAGAAGTTAAATATTTTCTTCAAGGTCATACACTCAATAAATTGCATAGTTGGGACTTAAACTTGGATACTCCAGGTCCAGAGCAAACACTTAATCATCGCACTCTTTTTTAACCCCTAGCAATATTTCTACAGATTTATAGATAAGTCCTATACTCCATCAACATTGTTTCTTTAAGATAAAATTTGTAAAATGAAATTACTCAGAACTGGACTACAGATCTAACATTTCTATACATGAACCATAGCTCCTCTTATCCAAAGCTAACACCCACTCCAAGGTACCCTAACAGATACTTGTGACTCTGTCTATTTGAGATTACACACAGTTCTTCAGGTTGCAATAAGAAACAGAACATACAATAGTCTGAGAAAGGAAATTTCAACTCTAGCCAGTCCCTCCTTCCTTTAGTTCTTTTCAGCACTTTTTTTTTCTTCATTAAGTTTGTTTATTGGTACATTTTAGGTATTCAGTACAGTTACATTCATCATTGGGATCTGGTACCGTTACATGATATATCTTGGTTCTTATTTTTTCCCCTTCCCCTGCCCTCCCTTCACCCCCTCCACCCCTCCCTGTTTACAAAGACTTTGTTTCCATTTTTTTCCTTTTCTCATATTTTTTCTTTTCCCTTCTTTCCAGCACTTTTGACAAGAAAAGCTTACCAAAAGCAAAGAGAGTGCTAAAGTTCAAGCCTCACCACCAACCTGTCTTCTTTCATCCACTCCACGATCCATCCCCTAGAGAATATTCTCTATACACATTCCCACAGCTGACACACAAAGAGAAGTGGAAAGACAGAGAGAAGAGTCAAGTTGTAGGTACAAGTTCTCCATGAATGCTCAGGCTACTTTTCTTGATCTGGTTATACCTTTGTTTTTCCCTGGGTGGCACATGAGGACAACGAACAGATGAGGTAAAGATAATTAGATTACCCTTAGGGAAACGAAAGGAGTCCCATGAATGCATGCTATTAATTGAGACACACAAGGAGACCCTCCTATATGCTCTGGACTTGAAATCATGACTCACTAGATACCATTTTATCTCATTTTTCAAAAAGTATGTTTTTCTTTTCTTTTCTTGAGAGGCTTCATGGGCAGAAAGATAAAACAGTTCATCTGTGTTACTTTTCCCAAGCAGCAAAGATAAACTGGAATCATAGTTTCTATTCTGTCAAAGGAGGCTCCTAGGTATAGTCAATTTTTTGTTATCTCATCTAATCAAATGATAGAGGTTTTACTGGGGAGTGATAATTATCATATCTACCTTGAACAGCAGATTATCACTCTTTAAAGAAACAGAATATAGAAAAATAAATCTAAAAATAGATGAAAGAAAAGATGATTATTCTTTGTTAGTTAAAAGGCCATTCCTGAATGTTAAAGAGCTTCATAGTCATCATCACAATCTTCAATTATTGCACAAGAAACTTCCAACTGGCCACCTGGCTTCCAACAATCTGCTTATACAATTTCTGTTTGAAAACTATAGGTGCATTTGTAACAAATGGTGTTTAGGGCTCCAGGACAATGCACACAAACGTTTTAATCTATAATGTAGGTGTGGAAAAATACTATTAACAACAAAGATTCTTTCCATCATATTTCATATTGTTCTAATGCTGTTTTCGAGAAAAAAAAATGTTTTAAAAAGATGAACTTAAACATGACAATTTGTGGTAGTTATTAATCTATCACATTTAACTATGTGAAGTATAATCCCCTGTGCCTCTGTAGTGAGGGACCAGGTAGCAGAAGATCCCTAAGGCGGGGGGGGGGGGGGATTGGGCGGCTAAGGGACATCACCGTGCTGTGCCGTGGACAGGAGGATGAACTTAAACAGAAAGAACACTGTTATGACAGGCATAGGAACCTACACTTAAGGTCTCTTCTGGTAGTTCTGGGGCAAGGGAAGAGAAATGCTGGCCTGGAGACTCTAGCAACAGGGCTTTCAGTTTACAGGAAGAATTTGATATTGGAACTCTTGGTTCAAGACAGAAATGAGGAAAGGAGCAGCAACAGGGGTTACATTGGATATTGGATGGGCTTAAAGAGTCAAAGCTACCACTGAAGGTTATGCTTCATAATAGCAAGTTTCATTTGCTTTGTTCCTTGTTGTGCTCCGGAATCTGGGGTGGTGGCTGGATTATTGTAGATGTTCAAAACTTAGGAAGAAAGGAAAGGAGATAGGGAGGGAAGGAGAGAGAGAGAAAAGAAGAGAGGGCAGGAAGGAGGGAGGAAGGGAGGGAGGGAAGGATAAAGGAAGGCAAGCAGGTAACAGTAATAGGGGTGGAATGACATCAGGACAGTATATGCTAAGATACAAAATATTACCTTGTGAATCAGTCAACCTGCGCCACAGTGGAAGAAAAATGCTACTTAACAAAGAGTTCCTAAAACAAAGGGGCACCAGAAAACTTTGAGAGTGATGGATATGTTTTTTGTTTTGTTTTGTTTTGTTTTGGTGCCGGGGATTGAACTCGGGTCTTTGTGCTTTCAAGGCAGGCAGCGGAACCCCTGAGCTAAATCCCCAGCCCTGGATATGTTTATTACCTTGATTGTGCCACTGGTTTTGCAGGGATAAGCATATGTCCAAACTCATCAAATTATTTACATTAAGTCGGTACAAATTTTTGAATATCAGATATATCTCAAAAAAGCTATACAAATAATAAATAAATATTTCATTTACATTATAAAGAGTTCTTATTGATAGAATATAAAATAATAGATATTGTCTCAATATAAATACACAAGGAAATTTGGTCATGATGGTCTAGTTTTCAAAGGGAACCAAGGACGAAATGCATAGCACAGAATTTTCTACAGATAAGGGAAGGAACTCATGTATCAATGATAAAGTCTGTATAAGTCTGTTTTTTTCATCAAAAAGCTGAGAGTTGGAAACCTAACTTAGCCATGCTATTCTGCATTAATGAAGATGGAGGTCCTCTGGCAGAAGCAGATAGAATATGACTGTCATCAAGGGCTATATATATGAAGATTAAGATAAACTAGACAAATTAAGACAGTGTTACTTTACAAACAGAAACCACTGCCTCTGGGAGCATCAAGAGCTGGAATTTGTACTGAAGAGCAGAGAGCTCATTATCCCCTGAGTAGCTGAAAGGCTGGCCAAAATGTCATGTATCATATAGTTCAATGTACTCTTTTACAACCAATTTTAGACACAATCCACCTCTTTTCTTTAAAACTTTACAAAGCATCTAACTTCATAAGACAATGTTATAAAAACCAGAACCTTGACAGAATGTTATCATAAAGATTTAGACTGTCACTAAAATTCTGCCACTTAGAAGAAAATGTTTATTTTATCATAACCTAAGTCTTCCTTAAAATAGCACCCTGAACACTTAGCCATGGAACACACCCTAGCTTCTCAGCCTGTCCACTGTAACAGGACAGGGGAGCACTGGGCTTTGACTCAGAAAAGGTGAGTAAGTGTGAGTTATCAATGAGGCATCACAGTTATCCAGGCCACACACTGGGCATCAAAGAGAGTAAAATTGAAGAACATCTCTGGAAAAAAAGAAATCTTGACCAATGCTCTGCCAGCATATCAGAAATGTCAGTCTGTTGAGACTGGGGAAGAGATCATATAAATATGTAATCAACAAAGAGACCAGAGACTCAGAGAGAACCAAAGATTTCTAACTAAAGGGTAGGAAACTGTGCCTAAAGCAATTCCCTGAACAAAAAGAGAAGCTACTTATTCTTATAGTATGCTTGTAACTTTAACTGGGGCAAAGAGAGACATGTTAAGGTTGTAAAGCCATTCCAAATCAGGAAATCAGTCACAATTTCCTTCTTAGTAGTGGTTAAGCAGAGAGGAGGAATGCTAAAGAAATTATATAAGAACTCTGTACTTCATTTAAACTGGTCCAGCTAAGTTCCTCACCCACTGATTAAATATGGTGATTGTGAGGTGCAGACCATTGTTTTTAATCATAATCTCTATGACCCCTAAGAGCATCGAGTGCTCATGGGTAAGGCTTTCAGAAAGTGATTAATAAAGGGGGCTTATAGCTCACTTACTGTTAGGACGTGGAATCTGGTCAGAAGAAGTGGATCACCGAGGGGCTGGCCTGTGAGGGTTTTCTTCTTCTCTACCTCCTCTCTTCACTCTGCCTCCCAGCTGCCAGGACATGAGCAGCTTCTCCTCTGCCATGCTGTTGTGCATTGAAGCCAGTCAACAATGCAAGGACTGAAACTTCTACAAACTGTGAGCCAAAATAAATCTCTTCTCCTTTAAGTTGCAGATGTTGGGTATTTTGTCCCAGCGATGAGAAAAGTGACTGAGACTTTAATTCTATCAAGTTCAATACTTATTTTCACAGTCATAATCTCTAATAGTCTTTTAATTAGCAGATAGAGACAAAATAATAATAATAAATTTTCTAATAGGACAAAATTTTACATATACCATATTATTTCTTTGAAGAATATCATTCTGGAAAACTGCAATGTAGACTATGAAAATGCACTAATTTGATTTGTCATAGAAATCTTTCTTTTAAATTCCAAGATAAATCAACAAATGTTTCCAAAGCCAACATTTACTCCATGAATTCAAATCATTTTCAAGACTTATGATCCATTAGAAAGGCAGTTTCAATTTCCCTTGCCCTGTGAGAGTCTAATGTATAACTGGCAGAAAACACATTTACACTGCACATATTCCATGACAGTGATATCATTTATTGATAACATTTTTCAAGTTTTAAAAAATGATGTTGCTACCTATGTTCATTCTGATTTATCGATAAGAAGTAGATGGAAACTTCATTTTGGTGAAGATTACTAAAATGTAACAGATTAACAGACATTCAAGTAACAAACACTGCCTACTAAAGTTTAGAAGAAATCTCCAACAATTATAATAATGGCATCATAACGGATGAAATGTCCAAGAACAGACTAGATGACCATGGACAGATACAGAGTCACATCCAGATATACGCATACAATAAGGAATCAAGCTACTTCACCTCATAGAAGGGTCTGATCAATCCAGTGCAAATTTTTCCTTTTTTCTTTCTTTCTTTCTTCTTTTTTCTTTTTTCTCACCTTTTGCTTTAAGCATGATTATGCCTATCAAGGATAGCAACAAAATGAATTAGACTAACAGAGAGAAGTTCTCAAAGCATATTAAGATACAGAGTCAGTAATAATAGATACAATACTCATTAGAGAAGATGCTCCTCTTTTCCAGCAGTTAAAGTTTTTGATATGCAATGTTTAATTCCATGTGCATCACTTACAATGCTAGGAAAAGAGCTATAGAAGTGCATAAGACAGGCCAACCTTTGAGGACCTTAAGACTTTAGTCTATAAATGAAACAGATTCTATGCTAATAAGTAGGTTAATATATCTAGGGTCAGTTTAAGTAAAAGGAATGTTCTCCTTAGGAACAATTTGACTCTGGCTCTATTGGAGTCATAGAACTTATTCAGCTTCATACCTAAAAATTATATAGTACTAGAATGTCAATTTCTTTTATATATAGATATATATATCTATATATATATGATAAAAAGTAATTTCAAAGACAGCTATTTCCTTAAGGTCATAATTTGAAGGTCTATAACTGCTCCAACCAGGGTATTAATCAGGAAAAAACAAAAATATAGATGCTCTTAGTTTCTTCCCCCCCCCATTAAGTTTATTGGTACATTTTGGGTATAAAATACATTTACATACATCATTGGGTCTTGTACCATTACATGAGTATTTTGGTTCTTATTTTTTTTCACCTTCCCATGCCCTCCCTTCACCCCCTCCACCCTTCCCTATTTGCAAAGATTTTGTTTCCATTTTTTTCCTTTTCTCATATTTTTTCCCTTCTTTCCTTTCCCCTACCTCTCGCACTTCCCCTGCTCCTTTAAACCTTTACTT